AACACTACCCATACAACTGTGTGGACGACACCCGCACAAACTCACACTCAGTATCACACACACACACACACACACACACACACACACACACACACACACACACACACCATGGGCCCTACATCACCGACCGACCACGGACGGTTGCAGCGATCTCCATAAGCGCTCGGCACATCATCCTCTGTGTCTCATCGGAAGCCGCGTAGTGCATTTTCAGGACTGCAACTTCCTGCTCCAGTATGTCGCATTGCCTCGTGAATATGCTGCATTGCCGCTTGCTAGACGATTCGATCGTCGACGACATCAGTTCGCCATGGCGGTCCATGACATCAGCAATCGACTCCAACGCCTATTGACGCGCATTTTTCCGCTTCCCGCCCCCAGTCCCGCTGGTTGCGTTGTTGTCGGAGTCCCTCGTAGTAGAACGTTCTTCAGGGAAGTTTTCACCAGCGCCCTCACTACCAACAGACTCCCCAGCACCCGCTCCTCGCCTGGGCAGCTGCACCCCATCCGGACTTCCGGTGTCGGCGATGTTGGGAGGGAAAATTGTGTGGTTGCCCACCATGCCTGCGTGGATCTCGTTGTACAACACCTTCTCCATCCGGAACTTGAAGTTGTGCTCCTTCCTTTCTTCATTCGAAAGTCGGAAGAAATCTGGCCGGCCACTCGCATTCTGAAACCTTTGTACCTTCTTGTAGTTTTGGAAGATGTTGTCCCACTTCTTCATGCACTCCTCCGCGTCTTTAGGCCTCCCCGCGTTCGCCATGCACTAGGCAATGTCGTCCCACTTTCACTCCTTGGTCCGTATCCGCCCGTAATTGTGACCGAGACCGGCGAGGTGCATCTCTTGCTCGCGCTTGCATCTCACCAGTTGCATTTGCTCTTCCGGGGACCAGTACGTCGCAGACTTCCCGCCGTCATCGCTGATGCCACCTCTGCCCCCACGGCCAACGGATCGACCACGAACAGCACCCCTGTTGCGTCCTCTCCCCCTCCCACCCGTCTTCCCCAAAGGCCAAATAGGAATGTCGTCGTCGTCGTTCCCTGCCTCCACGTCCTCCCCGAATCGTTCGTCGGCATCGTCACCGCCACCACCATCGTCGTCGCCGCCATCGCTGTGTGCCCGCATGTTTGACACTCCTCGTGTGATGTTCTCCACACTGGGTGTTGGACGCACCGCTGGTCTGCACGTGTTGTCATCCCTGAGGTCGGGTTAGGCCGGTGTTGTGGTTTTGGGCGTCGAATGAAGTGTACCGCTGATGCACAGGGACCCGACTGCGACTCCATGGCGTGCGGGGCAGGTGCTTATCAATCGATCGGCGGACGCTGCACTCGATCCATGCTGCCGGCCTGATGTCGATGGCCGGACACCGCCATTAACGGACGCACCGCCACGAAGTGTGGACTGCTTTGTATGGCGACTTCCAGATTGTTGAATGCCACGTGGTGAAGGATCGACGTCGATGATGAACGTGCGGCTCGGCTCCCTACCGCCGGCAGAACACAACCCGAACCGAAGATCAACTCCCCCGTCGTCGTCGTCTCCCAAGCCCTGCTGCAGAAGTGTCGTGTACTCGCCGCGTCTGTTGCTTGCCGACCCACTTGCGAGCATCGTCTGCGACAACAGCTGCGTTGACCCGCTGCCGAGAGGAAATGTTGGAAGTTCATCCCCCTCCGGCTCCTCGTCCGAGGGAGGCAGCGGCGTCTCCCACGACGACAGATGGCTGTACATGGACGGGTCGTACCGTCGTGAAGGCTCCGCGTCGCAGGTTTTCTTCCGCCCTCAGCTGCAGGCAGAACAGCGCGTGCCTGCATGCCCGCCATGGGACGTCCCTCTTGAAGCACAGCGCCTTTCGTTGACGCCCTGCGCTTTTTTGCGACGTTGCTTCCACGACCGGCACGACAAGCACACATGGAGGAAGATGACCACAACGAGAAGCGGCAAAGGTCATCTCCTCTGCATGTCTGCCATGAATTCGATGTGGACAGGCGACCTTGCACGTGACGTCCTGCTCAACTTTCTCCTCACAAGCCCACGGACAAGGCCGCTGGACCTTCAAATGCCATCGACCAGCAGCAAAGACTACACACGTTCGCGCCTGCGATTCAAAAACCGACCGTTGCCGCCCACGCCGCCTTCGTGTGTCGTCGTGTGCACATCTGGGGACTCCTCCGTTGCCCGCATTCGAGCCAACGGTCCGCAACGGCTGCCCGACAGGCCACGCTTCGCCCCGCGCGCTCCACCCCACCGGCCAACGGCTACCGCTGGGGGCCGTTGCCGTCGTCGACCTGCAGAAAACCTCCGATGTCCGCCCACCGACCCGACGGACCTCTCCTGGACCAGCGCCTCTATGTCGACGGTGTTCTCGCGACGCGGTGACTCTGTGAAACGCGGGAATCCTAAATTTTTCAGTAGGTCCGGGGCTACTGGAAAATTTAGGACGATTTGGCTGGGGAATCCTAAATCTTTTAGGATGAGTCCTAACGCCGTTTTCACATTTTCGATTCCCGCGTCCGATTTAGGATTGCGTGCAACCAAGATGCAATCCTAAAAACAGGAACTTTTAGGAGTGTCTAACGAGACCCTAAGAAAAACAAAGCAAACAACAACAACAACAACAACAACAACAACAACAACAAAGATTTGATTTATGGGACTTGCCGACCCTGCGTCCCACCCCCGAATTCTTCGGGAACAGCCTAAGAGGCTGATCCCACTATGAACTTTTACCAAAAAGTCCCTTGAAAGTAGAAGTGCCGAACGTTTCGTAGGGAAAAAGTGGGATCCCATAGGCCCGGACTTCTTGGCGCTTTCCCGATTGCGTTGCCGAATTTCGATGGTCGTGCATGGGTCCAGCGGAGACACCCGGTCTCGGCGGCCGTGCATGGGTCCAGCGGAGACACCCGGTCTCGGCGGCCGTGCATGGGTCCAGCGGAGACACCCGGTCTCCTTTTGTGTCCGCGCGCGCTGCTCACAAAGAAAGACCGCCTTCACACACAAAAAAAAAAAACAATCGGTTGGACCTCGGACACAAGAAAGACGGTCTTCACAAAAAAAAAAGAAAAAAAAAAAAAGAAAAAAAAAACTTGCCTACTTTTGGGGGGAAGGGTAGGGGGTCACGGGCTCCCGACAGTTTCCTACCAACTTCGCGCCGCGGGTCAAGGCCGTGGCATCACGCAAATTTCCATGAGTAGAAACAGCCGTTTTCTGTTGCACTGCCGTCGGACAGGGAAGTTGGGGAAACCATATGGGATCCCCTTTTTTTCCAAAAAGCTCTGCTACTATGAACTGTGGGATCAGGTACTAAAACTCGTAATTTCCTTCGAATTTTTTGCAATTGAAGTTCAGATCTTTCCCAAAAGAAAAAAAAAAAAAAAAGGAGAAAAAGAAACTGCCTTGCCCAGCCCCATATGGCTACGGTACAAATGTAAGGGACGCCGGGCCCGTTTCCTGGCTTGTACTGGAATTGGGAGGGTTGTGATAACGTCCACAACCGTGGGGTCTGGTCCCACCTACCGTTGTCGAGTTTAGAAAACTTAATGTGTGACGCCATTTAGAAAACTTCATGTGTGACGCCATGGAAAAGTCGGAGTGAATGTCTCCGTGAAAACTTCATGTGTGACGCCATTTCACTCCGAATTCAAAAACTGAAAAAAACGCTTTTTGATAACGTAACAGTGGGAGAAATGAAACATGTGTGGAAAAGTCGGAGTGAATGTCTCCGTGAAAAAGGGATACTCCCCGTGGTGAGGGGACAGGCGGTCGGCATTTGTAAAATGGACAGGGACAACTTGGATGGCCAAATGCATTCATTGCCCAAAGAAGGAAACGAGCTTCATGCCAGAGAGCCAAACGCAGCTGTCAGAGTTCCTCCGCAGGGTAGTTTTCTCAATGGAAAATGGTTTCCCGCCCAACCTAAAGGGCCACAGCATACTACAAAACGGATTTCACGGATTTCACGTCAAAGAAAAAATCTACAAAACGACAAAATCTAATAGGCTATTCCCCTGTATTTCCGTACCATTAGATCTCAATACATCAACAGCAGAGCTCCGTCCCACCATGCCGCACATGATGCTATAGGTGGGACCAGACCCCCCTGGTAACAAAGAAAAATCCACAAGGGCAGCGGCAAGATGCTCTTGCCGCTGGTCGGTCTTGCATTAAAAAAAAATATCCTTCTGTCGAATTCACCGTTTACTGGCCACAACTCCTGAGCCTGCTTCTCGAGCGGCGCACGTCCACAGCCCTTGTAAGAATGAAAAATCCACAACGTTTTTCCTTCCCTCGAATTCACCGTTTACCCCCCCACAACTCCTAAGCCTATACTCCATTAAAATTAGAACGATTCAGGCAGATATTCTTTTTTTTTTTTTTTTTTTTCTGCCGCCGTTCGAGAAGCAAAAATTAGAACGATACACGCAGATTTTCTTGCCGCCGCTCGAGAAGCAGGCACACCTGAGAGGGATGTGCACCGCTCGAGAAGCAGGCACACCTGAGAGTGACGTGCGCCCCTCGAGAAGCAGGTAGAAGCTAAAGTGAACTTGACCATTTTTCCTTCTTTCCCGCCCAGACGAGCGACGTGGCTCAGGAAGACGAGCCATTGGCATTGCCTCGTCGTGTCTGCAGCTTGAGAAGCATCCGGACTGCTTTTCTCTTCCCGCATAGATTACTGAGCGCCATGCCTGCGTTTGCCGGAGCGGCTTGAGAAGAAGGGGCAAGAGCCAAATTACTTGTCTCTTTTCCTCTGGCCTTGCCCGCTCAAATCAGCTACTTCCTTCATCCTATAGCTGGGATGCGTCGTCATGTCTTTTTTGGACCAAATCTCGCCCCTTCATTCCTATAGCTCGGATGTGTCTGCTGCTTGAGAAGAAGGGAAAATGTCGGACTCCCTTCCCGCTCAGAATCGTTAGATCTCTTCTGTTTTTCACAATTTAGACCGTTTCTCGATTCACGCGTGTCATCCTTGCGCAGGGGCCATTTTGCTCATTTACCCTTCTCTGTATCGTTTCAATTTTGAGGGATGTCTGGAAAGACTTCCCGCCCAGATCAACGCCATGCCTCGGAGCAAATTTTGAACGCGTGGTATCTGCCGCTTTCGAAGCGGAGCCATCGCTGAATTGAGTTGGACTGAATCCCCTTACTTTCTTTCTTCCCGCCCAGGTTAGGACGGCATTGAATTCACTAAGTCTTCCTCTCTTCCCGCCCAGGATCGGACGGCATGCCCAATTTGAATTGAGTTGGACTGAATTCACGAAGTCTTCTTTTCTTCCCGCTCCGGATCGTACGGCATTCCCAAGGTGGACTGAACAAAGTCTTACTTCTCTTCCTCCCGCCCAGGCTCGGACGGCCAAGGCGGACTGAATTCGCTTACTTCTTTGCTTCCCGCCCAGGCTCAGACGGCATTCCCAAGGCGGCAGCAGGCAGCCATAGCCACCACTAGCATCGTGGTGCGCACAGTGCAGCTACCGTCGTGGTAGATCGACTGTTCCTTCCCTCTCTTGGATCCGTCCATCCATTCGTCTAAACAGTGCAGTGAGGGTTATCTGAACAAACCATTTGCACAGTCACGCACCCACTTTCCCCCCCACTTCCCCCCCCCCCTTCCCCCCCACACACATCCCTCTTCATCAGTCGGTGAAAGTACGACGACAGTCTGTCACAGCTACCCTTCTTTTGTGGAGCCGTGCTCACTGAATATACAGATCTCTCACACACACACACACACACACACACACACACACGCACACACACACACACACACACACACACACAC